CCTGAAAACAAGACTGTCTTCTCTCTGTGTTGGGACAAGGAGAGGTGTGGGAGGCTGATATTAGCCTTTACAACAGTGAGAATGTGGGCCTGTATGCTTCTTGCCTTTAGCTGGGTGCTGATGGGGGCAGGGGTGTCCTCTGTCTCCATGCTGGGCCTCAGAGTAGAGGCTGGGGCATCCCTAGGCTGCCAGTATCTGAGCCTCTGTGGAGCCGAGATGTGGATCTGAATGTGCTTACTGGGAGGGGCCTGACTGCATGTGTCCCTTGCAGCTTGGGTCTATGTGCTCACACCCTGCAGGCACCTAGAGGTTTCTTCCTGCACTGGCAGAGGACCCCTGGGTGAGCAGGGGAGGCCCTCCTCTAATTTATCCAGGAGGTGCTTGGATCTTTTATAAACTTTTCTGTATCCTTTCTGCCAGCCCGGTTTGAGGACTTTGAGCCATTAGACACCCGTGTTCAGTACTTCTGGGAAGCACTCAACAACTTCACCAATGGTGAGTGATTTGCTCTGTCCCTGCATATCTTGTGCCATGACAGCTCCTGCATGCTGGCTGGAAACTGGGAGGGTGAAACCACCCTCTTGCTGCCTGGGGAATAAATGGGAGCCAAGGAGAGCAAGCAGCTGGGCTGAAGGAACTGCTTGCTAGCACTGGGGATACCTGGAAGTGGCTGTACTCCATCTCACGTCCCTCTAGGGTCTGCTGATGTCTTTGCTTTTCCTTCACAGAGGATCGCAGCCGCTTCCTCAGATTTGTGACTGGCAGAAGCCGCCTTCCAGCACGGATCTACATCTATCCAGACAAGATGGGGTGAGTCCATTCTTCTGTAGACTGCAAGGCTGACAGATCCCACACCGAAGGGATGTGTGGTCTGGTCTCCCCTGCCTCGCTGGCCTGCTGACCAGTTTGTCACCTTCTTCCCAAGCTCTGAGACAACAGATGCTTTGCCAGAGTCGTCCACCTGCTCCAGCACCCTCTTCTTGCCCAACTATGCCACGTAAGTTTTGGTGCTTCCCTACATCTGGGGGACTGTGTGTCTGGGCTCTCTTCTTAACCTTGGTGCTGACCCGTAGGGCCCCATCGCTTTGCCACACTTACGTCCCACTGCCTGTAGCATGTGTCTGCTGTGATTCTCTCTGTGAGCGGCTGGTGAAGCATAGCCTCCATCTCAGAAAGCATCTTGTCCTCTTGGCTGGCAAATGCAACAATGGCAACTCCTCCTTGTCTTTTTTTTTTTTTTCCTTCCCCCTCCCCCGCTCCTGCCATCCCTAGAGCCAAGGTATGTGAAGAGAAGTTGCGCTATGCTGCCTATAACTGCGTGGCCATTGACACAGACATGAGTCCGTGGGAAGAGTGATGTTGCAGCCTGACCGAGCAGCATGGACAATCGTTCAACAAAACCGTGCAGTGGGAAGAGCTCCCTTGTCCCCCCAGGATGTGTATATATAATAAACATATAGGTGTGAAGCCTGGCTCCCAGCAGTGGTAACCAGCACCTCTTTGGACATGGAGGTTTGGGTCTTCAGCAGGGTGGGAGCTAGCTTGGAGTGTAAATGTGATTGCAATAATGAAGCCCTGGCCCAGCCCTCATACATCAGAAAGGTCTGGTAGGCTTTTGTAATGAGTTTCTCCTCCACATGTCCCTGTTGCAGCTCCACAACTCTCGCTCCTCCCAGGCTGCGTTCTGCTCCAGACAGAAATGGGGTGGTGCCACAAAGCTGTATGGCAGGTTACAGCACCGGACAGAGAACTGCGAGCTGCTGCTGAGACCACAGGGATGCTCAGAGATGCTCAGTGTGTCCTAGCCCGAGTGTCCTGACCACATTCCCTTGCCTTCTTCCTGCTCTCACCTGAGGTCATGGAAATGAGATCATTGGTCTAGGTTTAAGAAGAAATGGGGCAGGCTGGTGGCAGGTGCTGCAGGGGTGCCTCTGGCCACCAGGTGTCACGACAGACCTGCACAGCAGGACTGTGGGTGCTGTCAGGAAAGGGCTCCCATGCTTTTACATCGCACAAAATCCCAGTTCCTGTGACCACCCGTGGTTCCCTGCGCCCCTTGCACAGCAGCGACTGCTGGGGGAGCTGCTCCCCTACGGGTGGTGGGAACTGTCTGCTTCCCTCCTGCTCTGTAGCCTTCAGTTCTGCATCTGGCATGCTGGTGGCCTAGCAGCTGTTCTCCCAGGCTCTTTGAGCCTTGGTTTTCCCCTAAAATCCAGTATTACAACTAATCTGTTCTAATTCTCATGGAGATGTGCAGGGCCTCTTCTCCCAGACAGCAGGGGTTAGAGCAGTAGCAGGCACAGCAGCGCCGGGTTCTGCTCCCCTCTGCCTTGGGGGGGTAGGTGGAGGTTTCAGGTGGACAGGGAAAGCCTTTGCCCCAGGGGAGTGGATAGGCTGTGGGTACCAAGGGTTGGAGCTCCTTGAGCAGATGGACACGCAGTGTGTGAGCGGGGAGCGGGCAATGAAAGCTTTACAACTTCAAGACCATTGGAAATGCTCCTTGATCTTTCCAGCCCTGGGCAGAGCTAGTCATTGCCTAGCACTGTGAGCTACCAGATGTCGGTCCACTTTTATACCCCCAGCTCCATCTTCAGCCTGTGTGGTCTGTCGACCGCCGCTACTAAGAGCCACTGAGTCACTGGGGCTTCACTGGAGCGGGGCTAATGCTGTGAGTTAAGATTTATCCTGTCATAATGCTTCATGACTTTTTCTCCTCTGTTGAAGGAGCCTGTCATCTGGAAATCACTTCCAGTTGTAAACTAAGTCCTTCCCTTCACCAGTTTCCTTTGAAACTGCTGTATTCCCAGACCTGCTGAGGGGGGCTGTACTAAAAGGGATGTAGGACCAGCAGAGAGCGTGTGCTGCCATCTCCCATCGTGGTGAGTGGAAGGAGTATAGGGTGAGCAGGGAAGCCGTTTCTGGCAGCCCTTGCCTGCAGCAGAGCCCTCTGTGCTCAGCTGGGTGGGTGTGAAGTCCCATCTGCTGGAGGAGGTTTTTTTTGTAAATCCTAGAGTTATCTCAGAATTGAGCTCTGTGGCTTTGTGGCTGATTTCAAGGACCCGCGTGGACAGGAGGAGAGCCAGTGTGATACCTTTCCGTGCTGGTGGCTGAGTCCCTTTCTAGGGTGTCTGTTTTAAATGGGCATGAGCAAACTGGTGAAAGGACTTTGATCTGCTGGCTTGGCCTCAGTCAGGACTGTTGGTGAAGGAGTCTTCAGCATCAGGGTAGGATTTGAAATGAGCCATCCTAGATCCTTTCTGGCCACTGACGTTTGGGTGGAATCGATCCTGCTTTTTCCAACCTTGCCCACTTGTCTCTAAGGCAGATCAGCAGGAGGTCACATTATTTACAGAGCAGAACTAGAAGTAGCAAGAAAAATTGACTCCTCTCTGGTGCTTTATTGCCGGGCAGGGGACGGTTGGTTGATGAGTGGCTCAGGGCAGGATGGATAAAATGGCCCTAGTCTTTGGTGGAGGGTGAGCTGATGTCACCTGTGGGAATGGGCAGGATAAAAGCCAGCTGGGGCTGTTTGAGTGACCACCTGCGGGGGAACGGGCACCTCTGGCTGAGACATCTCCAACAGGTGACCACTGGCTCCCCTGGCCTTGGTGGAAGCAACTGCAGCTGACAAAGGGTAACTGAAGTAATTATGGAGCAGCTCAGGTTTCTCACTGCGGGATGAGATGCTTGGACAGCTCTGTTCCCTCTCATCATCCATGTACACAGCCCTCTCTGTGATGAGGGGAGAGCTGCCGTGCAGGGCGATGCTGAGAGCAGAGCCTGGCTGAAGCGGTGAGATCCTTCCCTAGAATGGCATCCTTGGAGATGCTCAAGACTTGCCTTACAGCCCTGGGCAATCTGATCTAACTTCCAGTCTAGCCCTGCTGTCTTCAGGTCTAGGTCCTCCCTAACCTGAAGCACTTGATGACTGTGGAGTTATCGACTCTAGCTTTTCCCACATTTCTCTACTCTTCCTCCCAGCAAGGTCTTTTAGCCCCTGACCTCTCACACCCTTGGGTTTATTTCCTGCCACTGAGAAAAGAGTGCTGCCCAAGTGATTGCTGGAGCTCTGGGGAAAGGGTCTAGCTGGTGACGGGGATTTCTATTTAAAAAACACTTGTAGTAACAGGACCCTGGCCCTAGCAGGAAGGCTGCAGTTGGGACCTCATCCAGGATGGTCTGGGTTTAAGCCCTACATGCATACTGAGAAAAACAGTGTTTTACCATATATACCATTGTTTTACTGTCCATTTCATGTTATGCCATATACATGTTGGAGAATGGCAGCAGCCGCTGCTGTAGTGTTATACCGGGGTGTAGAGACCTATGAAAGCCCTTCCAGTTGCAGGAAGAGCCCATCGCTGCAGCAAGGTCTCAGCTGAGATCATTTAGTGCATGGTCAGAGGGTCTGGACAAACATGGCTGCTGAGCAAGGATGCCAAGATAACCCACAGATCATGCTGTTGAATTTGCTGTGCAAAGGTGAGCTGGGAAGGGGGTGCTGGTAACCCCCTGGATCTCCTCTGCGCGGTCCTCTGTCTCATCTGTGGTGTTCTAAAGCCAACTGCAAACTGAATTTCTGTTGTGACAGCCCAGTGAATTGTGGAAGAGGTCAGCTCAGCCCTGGCCAACCTCAGGGGCCCAAAGTATGTGTTATTTCAGTGCTGGGGCACGTTCCTTCTCCTCTGATCTCTAAAGCTGTGGGTAGGAGCTGTCTCCTACCATGTTTGACAAGACACAAGTCAAGTGGCCCGGGGTGAGGGAGCCCTCCTGAGCACCAGGAACCTGAGGCTGTGTGTCCCCACCCCATCACTCCGTCTCAAGTCGGTTGAGATCAGTTTTCAAGCCAGTGCCGTCCTGAGGAAGGTGCCGGTGCCCCTGTGCTGCTGAGAAGAGGAGGCATGTGCCTGTGCCAGAGCTGCAGCTTCACAGGGTGGGTAGGGATGAGCTGGGGAAGGGACTGATGCCGTGATGGCTCCTTATAACCACTCGCTCTCTCCTGACTTTGGCTTGCTGAATTGTCATAGAATAGCTTCAGGTGATTAATAACACACATGTACTCTAGCTGTTCTTGTTATTCCACTAATACCCTGAAGTATGACAAGCTATAAATAGTTTGGCAGGATCTGTCTGTCCCTACCTCATAAAGGATCTAAAATAAAGTGAATGAACTAACTACTCCTGGCCTTCCCCATGATTTGTCTGGTCTGGCTGGGGTTTCTGTGTCCTTCTGTTGGGTTAAACAGCGATGGAGACTGGTGTCATGAGAGGCGACTGGAGGTGAAGCAGAAATTGGCCCTGTGATACCCTTTGCACACAAAGTGGTGTCATGGAGGTGGCTCAGAGTATTAACTGGCTCAACCCTTTGCAGCAGCTCTACAACCAGTTTTATAGGGTGATGTGGCTGCGGAGGGAGGGCATGGGACCCTCCTGGCTGCGGTGGCCTCAGTTAGGAGCAAGGCAGAAGTTTGCATTTCTCTCACAGCGCGGTTCAGGGCACTTTGTTCCTGGCAAGGCTGGTGCCCGTTGCTGCGGTGAGGCACAGTCACGCCTGTTCAACAGATAACGCTGCAGGGGTGACAGCTGTCGGACCTCTCTTTGCACTGTACCTTTGCAGGCAGGGATGGAGCTGGACTCTAACCTGCCAGGAGAGCAGGCAGGCGCTGGAGAGGTCTGGGGACCTTTGAGCTCTGCCAGCCTGGTTGTTTCCTGATCCTTAAACGCAGATCTTTGTGCCTAGCCTGGAGAAATTCAGGTAGCATGGGGTGGAGCTGAGTTGTTCTCTGCCACCGCCTCGCTGTGGTATGCGACAGGCAGACATGACTTGGCATGACACACTGCCAGCGTTCTGGGGTGGTTGGGTGCTGCTGGGTGTCATGGCCTCAATCCTTCTGCCAGGATGCCGCTGCTGGCTGGGATAAAGCTGCTCCTGGGCAGGGAAGCCCGTCATCCTCCCCAGCTGGTACCCAGAGCCTCCCCACCCGCTGCAAGCATGCCTGGGGCAGGAATATGTCCCCCAGCCAGCCAGGAGCCGGCTCTCCCCATAGCAGGATGCCAGCTCCCCTCTCTTCCCTATCCATGCTGAAGATGTAGCCCTGCACCCTGACCCTGCAGGGTCCCCCCCTCTGCTTGTAGGGATGCAGGCAGCGGCGGGGACGTTGGAGGTCTGGAGGGAGCCGCAGGCGACCCGGGTCAGCTCCTGCCGGGGACCGCGGGACCGGGGCGGGCGGGCCACAGTCGCATCTGGGCAAAGCGGGGCGAACGGCG